TGAAACTTTGATTCTGAGCTGTTCTGCTTCACCCTCTTTAATTTTGTTGTTGCGGATGGCTGATTCTGTGGCTGTGATCATCTCCACCAGAGGAATTCTACTTGGTGCAACCGCAAAGTTCAGTCCCCTGGCAAGAATATCTGTTTCTGGCTGGGTGAGCTGTCTGTCAGATAAATTCTTCACCCACTGTCTCCCTGGCATGTAATTGACTACTGGAATGTTGTCCTACACTGAATATGTTGTTATTGGGATTGTGATGGTGGTGATCGGTTATTAGTAAGTTAAACTGGTTTTGTTTTTGAGTCTTGGACTTGACATGCTGTGTTAAGCGTGCCTGATCTGTACAGTCCAACACTTGCTGAAGTGTGGTCTGATCTAGACACGTTGTTAGTTTCTGTTTAATGTGCTCTTCTTTGGCCTTCAAGGCCTCAATAGTAAAATTGGTCTGTGAACTCTTTTCTTTCTTTCTTTGAGTTGAGGTGTTCTTTTTCTGAGATGGTGTTCCCCTACATTATTTGGACTTTTTGTTCTGCTTGTAATTGAGTGCATGAGCAATAGACAGTAGGTCTATTAGATGGATTGTTGCACCCTTAGGTTCCTATTTTTATTAGTACTGCCAAAACACAGTTTATTGCTGCATCTGTCGTCAGCTTTAATGTTTGAGGCAGACATGTTGGATTTTGAAGTTGGAGACTGTGAGGAACCTTTAGCTTTCCATGTGAAAAATATGACTTCAGATGCTGTTCCAGTTGATTTTTCCAATGTTGAACTTTAACATCTTGACTTCGGAGTTCAAATTAAACACATCACTGCCTGTTTTCAGGACACCAAAGCCTTTACAGTGATGAAATAAGTGTAAAGATTCATAAAACGACCTTGGACATATTTTCTGATTTGTTTCACTTTTCAATAAAACCAGCAATTAGGGAGCACAAGACAGTGTATCTCTTGTGCCGGTCCCAAGCCCAGGTAAATGGTAAGGGTTGTGTCAAGAAGGGCATCCGACATAAAAGAGTTCTGCCAAAACTATAATGCAAGTTCATCAAAGAGACACCATAGTGGATCGGTCGAGGCCCGAATTAACAATGACCACCACTGGTGCTGTTGACAAATGGTAAATGGCCTGCACTTACAGTATATAGCACTTTTCTATCTTATCCTACATTGTTTAATTACCTTGTTGAATGAGCTTTTAAGCTTTTATTTTAACTCTATTTCTAAAGGTTTCCTTCAATCAACCTGGTGCAAAAGAAATTTGCAGCATGAAGACATAATCACATATTTGGGCTTGTGCACATATGCTTTATTTTTTTGAAAATTACAATGGAATTGCACAAGTTTATTAAGTAATAGAAATAAATGCTGAGTAAATAAATTAGTAAATGAGCTTTATTTTGACTTTATTTCAATATTCTTAACATTATTAAAGTAATTTTTAAACTTTTTGAATAATGTTTTACACAGCTAGAATAGTTTGCTGTTTAATAAAATGTTGCTTTGTGTTTTTAATCTACAAATTAAAAACGCTAAGTGAGCTTTTCTCAATGAGAAACTAAGACAATAATGTAATATCATCCATCCCTCCATCCATTATCGTTACCCGCTTCTTCCATTTTGGGTCACGGGAATAATGTAATACGCGTGTATAAATGTATGAAATTTGAATTACTCAATTTCAAATGATTCGTATTATTTACTCTACATTTTTGTTTTATAATCCCTATAAACATGTAAATGTAAACATGTACTAATCGTTACATAACAGTAAAAACTCCCCTTTTGAAGTTAAACACGGACAATACCTAAACTGGCCGATAGGGGGAGAAAAGCGCAGCTGACAGTTTGCGGCTGCAAAGATTCCGTAAAACCAGCGAAGAAGAAACAGAACTAACCGGTTTCTGACCCGCCATCAATCCGACGAGATCATGTCAGGCGTTTCTTAGCTAGACGAAAACAGTGTGAATTATTAAACAAAGAAGGCTCGGGCCGTGTTCTCTAAAAAGGTAAGTAACGTGTTATTCGGTCGAGTTAGCAACATAAGCTACATTTACCAGACTGTACATAATAATGAAACTAGCTTTTTCTGGGGACTATTATTTTAATAGGGCAAATCAAATGTCACTAAGCCAACCTTACCTTAAAACATAAACTAAAGAACGCTTTTTTCCTCAATCAACATCCGACCAGAGACGTAACAAGTCTTTTATTTTTTGAATGCAGCGAGCCATGGCAGCTGCACAGTCTGTCCTGATGTTTGCAGTGTGCATCCTCGTGATAACGGAGCTCATCCTCGCCAAGAAGGACTACTATGACATACTGGGAGTGCCCAGAGGCGCAACAGACCGCCACATAAAGAAGGCTTTCCACAAGCTCGCTATGAAGTTTCACCCAGATAAAAACAAGAGTCCAGATGCTGAACTGAGATTTAGAGAAATTGCTGAAGGTACAGTTGTTGTTATCATGTTTAACGTGTTTTTTTGGGAAACTAAAAATGAAATTTGTTTACCCGGTTCATTTTCTGTAGGTGCATCTAACATGCAAAGTTCAGTTTGCAGTGCATGTTTCAGCTTGCACGCTCACATGATGGCATGTACTGACAAAAAACAAAAATCATTTTCCAACATTTTTCAGTCAGGTCACCTGGACAGTTTCTTTTTTTATGCTGAAACGTTTCGCCTTCGATCCAGAAGGCTTCATCAGTCAAGGA